TGTGTGTGTGTGTGTGTGTGTGTGTGTGTGTGTGTGTGTGTGTGTGTACATCACATGCATGCCTGGTGCAGACGTGAGAATAGGGCATTGGATTCCCTGGAACTTCGGTTACGGATGCTGTGAGTCATCTTGCTGGTACTGAGGACCAAACCCGGGTGCTCTGCTTGGGCAGCAGGCTTTCCTAACCACTGAGCCACTTCTCCAGCCCCTTGTTTCACACTCACTTAATTATTACTATTCTCTACTGAGGACAGTGACTGTTTATTTGAATTCACGAACTGAATACAGCATTCTACTGTAATTATCCCAGAGGCCATAAGGAGAAAATTGCAAGTTCCAAGCCAGTCCAGGCTATATAGTAAGATTAGGTCAGATGTGCAATAGGGCAGATGTCTCTAGGGGTCATTGGATCTTCACAGTGAGTGTGAATGAGTGAGCAGAGACATAGACAACCAGGTGACCAATATGAAAATTCAATTCAGATCTTGACAGCAGAGCTGGGAGACACTTGATTTTCCTGGCGGCATTACCAATATCCTTGCCTACCCCAGAGTGGAAATACTAACAGCTTTTAAGTTCAAATGTTCTTCTGTTGATGGAAAAAAAACAAAAAACTAAGTTTTAGAGTGATATTCATTCTACCTGTATGAGCTGGTAATAATCTTTGGTAATATAAATGATTATGTTTAATAGAGTATATTCAGTATTTGTTTATGAAATAATAAACATGGTTGAGTTAAAGTTTTGTAGAGTAGGGGAAGAGGATCAGTAAAATAAAGCATATGTGAAAATGCTACAGTGAAACCCATCCCTTTGCATACTCATTTTAAAAACTAGTAAAAGTTGCTTGTGACTGGGCGTGGTAGCCCACACCTTTAATCCCAGCTCGGGAAGCAGAGACAAGTGGAGCTCTGTGAGTTCAAGGCCAGCCTGGTCTATATAGCAAGTTCCTGGCCAACCAGAGCTGTATAGTGAGACCCTGTCTCAAAAATCCAAACAACCAAACGAAAATGTTTGGCAAAATTGACCAAAAGCTGTAACAATGTAGTTGGAAACTAGATAATTAACATCCAGCAGGACTTCATCTGAGAATTACCTAGAATCCAGAATAATCTGTTTCATAGGAGCCCCCAATAGCTGGGCCTGTTAATGAGCCGTGTTATGTTGACTCTCCGCAGCACGAACAGGGCTCGACTGAGATGTTTGAGCATCTGGTTAATTCTAACGGACTCAAAGATGCCATGAAAAACTATGGTCTCGTCCCTAAAGAAGATATTACCTTTATCAAGGAACAAATTATGGGGCCACCTGAAACACCTGAAGATCATTCGGTAAGTTTCCATTGACGCTAATTAGAGCCAGCTGGTGCTTTCCATCTAAGCTGTTCTGGATTCTCTCAGGGCTACGCACTTGGCTACCCTCGGAGTGCTAAATGTCAAAACACAAGTTACGTGTATCTGCCTTCCAGTGTTTAAAAAAAAGACAAATGATGTATTTTTCCCCTCACCTTGAGTTCTTCAGTCTTATTTCCCCCAAATGACAGCTTATCTCTGCAGCCTCAGTACATGGGATGCAGAAACAAGAGGATCAGATTGTGAAAGTGTATGTCTTGCGCTGGAGGGGTGGCTCAGTAAGAGCGAGCCCTCGTCGCGCAAATGTGAGGACCGGAGTTCAGATCCCCCTGCAGGAGTGTAAAGAGCCAAGCTTGGTAACACACACCTTTCTTTCCACCACTCGGGGGCCAGAGGCCAACCTGATCTACAGAGAGACCTCCAAGGCCTGCCAGCCCCATGCAGTGGGGCTCTGTCTCAAATAAGCAAAACAACACAGCAACAATTTAATTAAAAAAAAAAAAAAAAAAAAAAAAGGCAGCATGGCTGGACACAGGCTTGCAACCCTAGCACTATGAGAGGCAGAAGGCATTCAGCCGTGACCTCTGTTCTACACACACACACACACACACACACACACACACACAAATATACACAGTATAGATAGAGAAGCAGCTATCTTATTTCTAAAACAAAAATTTAGCTTTAAAACGCTCTGAGTGGTTTGTATTTAGAGGAGCTGTGTAGCTGTTTTGAAGCATGTAATGTGTAACACTGGCTCATGGTTATTATAGTCGCCGCTAGAGAAGTAGAAGCAGGGGGAACAGAAGTTCAAAGTCTTCTTGCCTGTACCTGCTTTCAAGGTGAGTCTTGTTACATGAGACTCTGTTTAAAAAAAAAAAAAAGGGGTGGGGGGAGCTGGGTGTGAAGGCAGGTGGATCTCAGAGTTTGAGGCTAGCATTGACGACAAAGTGAGTTCCAGGACAGCCAGGACTGCAGAGAAAAACCCTGTTTAAAAAATAAAAACAAAACAGCAAAAAAGGGAGGGAGGAGAAAAGTAAGAAATATGTATTAGTATATAATATATACATACGTACATGTATACACACACACATACACATGTACACACAACAAGAGGTTGTTTTGTTTTCTTCTGACTTATAATCCACGCTGACTTTGAAGTGACAATCCCCCTGCCTCACTCAGCCTCCTGAGTGCTGAGGTTACAAGTGTGTGTTGCCATACCTAGTGAAAGACATTATTATTTCAACATACAAACCTGAGGTTTACCATTTAAGGAACATTTTTTTTGCAAGTTTGTAATTAAATCTTATAATTTTAAAAAGCTTCTAAATCAAGAAAAAAAAACGTTGCTGGTATTGGGAAACTTATTAATAGCATCCTTTCAATGGCAGTGGAAGGTTTAACATTTTATTTATATACTTATAAACTCTTTAAGTTAGATTTTCATTTATCTATTTGTGTTTCGGTATGTGCGCGTGCAAGTGCGTGCCTGCCCATGGGCCACAGTGTACATGTGGAAGTCACAGGACGGTTTGCAGGGCCATGCCTCCCCTTGTGGCTCCTGGAGATAGAACTCAGGCAGTCGGGTTGGCAGCAGGAGCCCTCTCCAGGCATTCATGTATTCATTCTTTTCTGTGGGGCTGGCCTTCAAGCCCAGGACCCCACATATGCACGCCCTCTGCCACAGAGTGGCACCCCAGCTGGAGGGCATGGTATAATGGGAGAGCATTATTAGGTCAGTGCTTCTTTCTCCTTCCTGCTTCATTAGAAGTGAGAAGGAGAAGGGAAGATTATCCTCTCCTAACTTCACTGTGTATAAGTAGCAGATGGATACAGCTGCTCAGAAACAGGTCTACATCTTCCTAAAACCTCCATGAGCTTCTCTTGTTTCCCAGTGGCCATATAAGGGACGCCCAGCCAAGAAGAGCTTCCTCTATGAGATAGTGGCTAACAAGAGAAGTGGCATTGATGTGGACAAGTGGGATTACTTTGCCAGGTACGCACTTAATGTTCCAAAACGTTACCAAGAGTCTTTGTATGAATGTGGCATTAGCACCACTGGGCTTAATCAGAAGTTGGGCACCGCAGTCCTGGCATGGCTGTAGCCCTCACTTTGTGGCCACCGTGGAAGTGAAACAGCCTTCTCTTCCACCCTGAGTGTGTTGGGCTCCTTCCTGCCCTCTTTCCCTGTATCACAATTGCTCACTCTTGTGGGCTTCAGGTTAGCTCTTGAGCCGGGTCAAGGTAGGAGACGGTCTCATTTTGAAGTGAGAAAAGTCCCTTTTTTTTTTTTTTTTTTTTCTGTTTGCTTTCTTCTTCACAGTCAAGGCTTTAGTCTTAAATGTGTTGAGGATTTTAGTAATAAGCGAGAACAACATGAGGACCTTCTGGGTGCTTGTTCCTCAAGTTGCTGTGAATGTCAGTGTGTGATCAGTCTTGTTTGTTTGTCCATTTGTTGTTTGTTGAGACAGGCTTGCTTGGCTGGCTGGGAGCTCACTACATACACCAAGCTGTTCTCAGACTCATAGAAGTCCCCCTGCCTCTGCCTCCCAAGTGCTGGGATCAAAGGCGTGCGCCTCTGCCTCACATGGCAGAGTTCTGTTTATTCTCTACATCTTATTATTTTATTATTGCTTAGAGACAAGGTCTCACTCTGTAGACAAGTTTGGCTTCATGGTCACAGAGACTTGCCTGCTTGTGCCGCCTGAGTGATCTCGCGTTACTTTAAAGCAGCTCTCGGACAACATGGCATCTCATCACAAACTGTTTCTGGGTGGGTCGCTAAACGAAGTGTCTCTGTTAAACCTAGAAGCACTCTGCAATTGTTTTAAGGCATTTTTTTTTTTTTTTGAGATAGGGTCTCACTTTGTAGTCCTGGCTGTTCTGGCTCACTGTATAAACCAGACCAGCTTCCAACTGAGAGATCCTCCTGCCTCGCCTCCGCCTCCGGAGTGCTGGGATTAAAGGTGTGTTCCATCACTCCTGACTAAGGTATACTAATATATGGTCAGGATTTAAAAATTCCCCAGCTGTTTCATAACTGCCTTGTGCAATTCATAATCCAGTGTCTGCACGCTGTCCCTGGGTGATAGCTCTCCAGGCTTTCATTCCTCAGCAGCTGCCCTAGAAAAATTTCCCACTCTCTCCCTTAGCTTAGTTACACCTTTTTGTGCCCTTCAGTATATTCTTCAGCCCCCAACCAGCCTTCTGCAAGATGGTAGCTCCAAAGTCTGGTTAAGAATAGAAAAGAAAATAAATATATTGTTCCTATTTAAGGCACAGTTTCCTTGTTGAAATGCTTCGTATCTCTGCCTTGGAACTCTAGGGACGGTCACCATCTCGGAATCCAAAATAACTTTGATTACAAGCGCTTTGTTAAGTTTGCACGTGTCTGTGAAGTGGAGGACAAGAAGCACATTTGTACGAGAGAAAAGGTAAGCTCTGTCCCCAGAAAATAAGGGTGCAGCTTGTGGGTTGACATCTGGAAATAACCATTCAGCAACCTGGAAAAATCCAGAAGCCGTCTTTCTTTTCTTTCACTTCCTTCCTTCTCTCCTCCATTCCCTTTCTCGCTTTCCTTTGAATGTTTTTTGTTTTTTTTGTTTTTTTGTTTTTTTTTTAGATTGTGTGCACACAGCTATCCCTTTACATCCCGGTCTCCCTACACCTAGTGCTCAAGTTTATTAGGCATCCTCCTGATTCTGTCTCCCTCAGTGCTGGGCTTGCAGGTGCACAGGAGACCACACCACAGATGCCAGGACCTGAACCCAGGTCCTCATGGTTCTGCCACAAACACTCTTAACTAGTGATATCTCTCCAGCTCCACAAACTCTTTAAAACAAACAAACAAACAAAAAGATGTATTATTAGGGGGCTGGAGAGATGGCTCAGCTGGTAAAAGCACTGTCTGCTCTTCCAGAGGTCCTGCGTTCAATTCCCAGCAACCACATGGTGGCTCATGGCCTATATACTGAAATCTGATGTCCTCTTCTGGCGCATAGGCATACATGCATGTAGAGCACTCAGTGCATAAATAAATACAATTAAAAAAAGATATATTATTAATTATGTGTCCGTGTGTGGGGGTATGTGCAAGTATAGGTTCTCCTAGAGGCCTGAAGAAAGCATCACACACCCTGGAGCTGGAGTTACAGGCAGCTTGACTTGCCCGATGTGGATGCTAGCAGCCACACTCTGGTCCTCTGCAATAATAGCACAGACTCAACCCTCCTTCTCCTTCGTCTCCTCTTCCCCTTCCTCCTTCCCCTCCTCCTCCTCTTTCCTCCCCCGCTTCTTTTTATTTTGTTTTCCAAGACAGGGTTTCTTTGTGTAGCCTTGGCTGTCCTGGACCAGGCTGGCCTTGAACTCACAGCATTGTGAATTGGGATTATAGGCACATGCCACTGGGCCCAGCTGACTTAACCCTTCTTAATGCTTAGTATTTGTTAAGTGTTGTAAGGCTTTTTTTTTTTTTCACTCTATTACATTGGTAAATAATAATAATAAAATTAAATCCAACATTTATTGAGTCTTCTGCTGGGTGGGTTTTAAGGGCTCTTGGTAGGTCAACTCAATCCTTATTTCTCTAGGAGCTAGTACTATTACTATTTCATTTGTTTCAATCCGTGTTGTGTTGCTGTAACAAAATACCAGAGCCTGTGTAATTTATAAAGGAAAGAGCTTTATCTACTCCATGGTTGTAGAGGAAGCTTAAGATCATGGTAGTAGCATCTGCTCTACTTTGGGACAGATCACATGCTGTTCCATACATGGTGAAAGCCAGAAGTGCAAGTAAGGAAGGTGCTAAAGGGAGGGAGGGGCAGCTGCAGGCTGGCTCTACAACAGCCTGCTTTCTACTGTACTATTTAACAAGGGAGCACAGTGAGGTGGGGGAAGGGAAGGGGTTAAATAAGTAACAAAACTGTAATGTCAACGCTGCTAGGTCCTTACCAGAGGATACTCATGCAGCCTTAAAAGTAGTGTAGAATTATGCTCTTTATGTATGCTGGCCCTTTAATCCCAGCACTCAGGAGGCCGAGGCAGGTGGATGTCTGTGAGTTCAAGGCCAGCCTGGTCTGCATAGTGAGTTCCAGGACAGCCAGGGCTCCATGGTGAGACCCTGCCTCAAACAAAGGGGAACATAATCTGATGCCGAATTACTGTTTGTTTCCGTGTAGGAGGTTGGAAATCTCTACGACATGTTCCACACACGCAGCCGCCTGCACCGAAGAGCCTACCAGCACAAGATCAGCAACCTCATCGATATGATGTAAGAGCGCCAGCGTACCTCACTATGAAAGTTTTCCCCGACGCTCTGCCCCATTCGCGTTCCCGGGGCAGCCTGTGTTATCCACAGAGGTTTCCTTAAAAGAAGTCCAGCGTAAACGCCGGAGGAGTAAGAGGAGCAAAATGGACGCAGGTGATAGAGTAGATGGAGAAAGAGGAGCTGGCCTAGACAACACGTGAAGAGGAATGGCTCAGGGTCCCTGCTCAGGACAGCTGTTATTCGGGGAGGGAGTGAGACATGGGTAGCTGACATTCTGAATTAAAAGCAAAACTAATGTTAGTCAGGTGTGGTGGCACAAGACTGTAATCCCAGCACTCAGGGATGCAGAGGCAGGCGGATCTCTGTGAATTCAAAGCCAGCCTGGTCTACAAAGTGAGTCCAGGACAGCCAAGGCAACATAAAGAAACCCTGTCTCGACAAAACCAAAAAAAAAAAATACTATTTATACTAATTTCTGCCTTTATCCTGTCAAATGCTTTTCAGAATTAGTAGCAAATAGGAGCTTCACCTTTTTTCCTGATCCAGTCAGAGCTATAGCCAAAAGATGGACAGAGTCTGTACATGTCTTAGAGATGCCATGAGACGTTTTTGGTTTTTTTGTTTGTTTGTTTGTTTCCCTTTGTTTTTGAGATAGGATGTTGTACTTATATCCCTGGTGGGCCTGGAACTCGCTATATAGCCCAGGTTGGCCTCAAATTCAGGATTCTCTGGCTTCTACCTCCCAGGTGCTGGGATTATAGACGTGAACCACCACACTTGGTTCCAGGGTTTTTTTGTTTTGTTTTGTTTGTTTTTAAGATGTATTTATTATGTCTACAATGTTGTATTTGCATGTACACCTGTACCCCAGAAGAGGGCAGCAGATCTCATTGTAGATGGTTGTGAGCCACCATGTGGTTGCTAAGAATTGAACCCAGGAACTCTGGAAGAGCAGCTGGTGCTCTTAACCTCTGAGCTATCTCTCCAGTCCCTTCAGAAGAGTTTGAACCTCAGTCAAAAGTTAGGTGTAGCCAGACAGTAGGGAGGCAGAGGCAGGTGGATCTATGTGAGTTCAAAGCTAGCGTGGTCTGCAAAGTGAGTTCCAAGATAGCCAGGGCTATGTAGAAAAACCCTGTCACAAAAAGAAAAAAAAAAAAAAAAAAGGTATAAAGCTGGATATAGTAGCACTGTCTGCAGTGTCAGCACTTGAGAGGTAGAGACAAGAGTTCAAGGTCATTCTCAGGTATGTAGCAACTTCGAAGCTAGCCTGAGCTACACGAGACCTTGTCTCAAGAAAAGAAAAGAGCTAAAGTAATTTTTTTTTTTTTCAGTTCTGAGTCAGAGCCTTTGGTTCAAAGCCTGATATACTTCTTCCAAACTTGTTTAAAGGAAAATTATATCATTTCTGCATCTATAACATTGGAGTTGAGTATGCTTATTATTAGAAAAACTAAATGAGATAAAGGCCTCTAGCGCTGCCACTGTACCCCAGACACAGTAGGCATGCAGCTCACATCTCATAAACAGCTGTCTGTCCCACATTGTACCTCGTTCATTTTCCTAAATGAGAAGGATCCTCTTGAGCAAGCTGTAAAGCAAATCTTGACATTTTCCTTGTGTGCTTTTACAAAATGATCTTAGGATCACGGAAGCTCTCCTCAAAGCAGACCCCTACGTGGAGATTATGGGGACTGCCGGGAAGAAGTTTCGTATTTCCATGGCCATTGACGACATGGAAGCCTTCACCAAGCTGACAGGTAAGAACAAGTCACAAGTGGTCTGTGTCGGATATGATATAAGCGGCAGTGAAGACAGTGGGAAGGAAGAGCATATGTATGTGAAACTACAAAACAGTGTTTGGTTTGTTTGTTTAGATTTAATTATTAATTTATATGTATGAGCACTCTGTTTGCAACCTGCACTCCAGAAAAGGGCACCAGATCACATTATAGATGGGTGTGACCCACCACGTGGTTGCTGGGAGTTGAACTCAGGACCTCTGGAAGAGCAGCCAGTGCTCTTAACCATTGAGCCATCTCTCCAGCTCACCAAAACAGTAATTCTTAAAGTAGGCAGACTGATCGACCACAGTAAGTGTGGGAATTGCCAAACCAAACTGCACGACCTGGATGGCGTGCCTCTCCTCATCCTCATCGCCTCCCGAGACATCCCAGCAAGGGAGGAGCTCCTGTCCGACTATGGTGACCCAAGCAAGGCCTCCATCGAAGCCTACCCTTGGCTGAAGCACTGACTGAGTGGCCTCCCTGCCACCCTGCCTCCTTCAAAGGACAAAGTGCCCTCAAAGGGAAATGATTTTACATACACACACACACACACACACAGCTAATTACTTCAGTTGTTTTTTAAAAGTATATTAAAAGATGCCTTTTCATGTAGTATTTTTTAAAAACTATTTCTGTTCTTGGGAGATCCATACTGCAGTGTTCAAATGTTTCATAAAAAAATCTTCTGCACACAGCCAGATGCAGTGACTCACCCCTATAGGAGGAGGAAGCAGAGGGACTACAAGTTTGAGACCAACCTGAGCTATATAATGAGCTCAGGCACCCTAAGAGTGAGACCTTCTCTCAGAAGAGAAACACAAAGCAAGAAAATTGTGTACACATAGAGTACTTGTATGGAAAAATGATAAGGAATTTAGTTGAAGGCTATTTTAATTAGAAAAATTTTAAAGAAAATTGAAAAAAAGGACAAAAGCTTTTTCCTTCTATTATCATCATAGAATATTCTTTTAAGTCAGTTTACAAACTTCCATGTACCCATCACTTAGCTTCAACTATTATCAACACATAGCAATTCTTTCCACCTACCTCCTTCTGACAAACGTCGAGCTATTTTAAGTAGATCATAGGCATAATGCTGTTTGTAAATGTTTAAGGCCAAATCAAACAAACAAACAAACAAAAAAACAATGTTTAAGATCATCTAGGACTAAGCAGCAAGACCATTGTCTCATTTACAAGAATAAAAGCCCAAGAGTTAAGTCTCTGAGTACTGCTTGCCCCAGCTTAAGCCATCGGTTCTAAAGCACTTAGTTTATCTCACACGGGGGAAGACTCCCCTATTTCTGAACTCGTCTTTTTTCCCTCTCTTACTGCCATCTTTTTTTACTCTTTAAATTCTACCATCATTTTAATGTGAATGAAATTTCATCACATTGACAGATAACATTTTCTTGGAGATTTTATACTCTACTGACCCAAACTTGTCTGAGGCACAAAGTATTTTAAGGAACATTGAACACCGTAATCTATACAAGTATTTGGGTGAGACCCAGCCAAAAAGCCAGAAGATTGGAAAGGTAAGTTGAGTCACATGCTGTCCTTCTGTTGGTGGAGGGCTGTCCCAGTCTCTGCTCAGAAAGAAGCCATTAGGGTCTCACAGCAACCACGCTTTCTGTTTACTCTCATTTGTTCTTTGCAATGTTCTTAGGCCTGCTAACCCAGATGAGAAACCAAGGGTGAGCAATAGTGAATAGACTGCTCATGACAGCAGTCAGGTAGGACCCACAGTCGAATCTGAGCAACTATAAAGATTTGCTCTTGCATTCAATAAGGTCCTCAAATTTTGGATAGGTCCAAGCACTGGAAAATGAATCTAAGGAGGAATCCTTGGAAATCAGACCTGTGTGAGCTTCACTAAGGCTCTGAGAACCCATTTTATCTATTGTTGACCCTCGGCACTTGACAGTATACAGTCAAAATTTTACCTTTAATTTTTGACTCTCTAGAAACTTAACCACTGATAGTCTGTCATTGCCCAGGAACTGCACCGGCACCATAACAGCCAGTTCCATGGATTTTGTGTGTTGTTTGTATTATATTTGGGCCAGAAACACAGAAGGGCTGGCTGGGATAAGGTGCAGGGGCTGGAAAAAGCAGCAGGAGGTAGCTAGACTAGATAAATGCCACCTTCTTTCCAAAATGTGACGGTTGATTTTGTTTGTTTTTTAATGAAAAGTACTCTTTGTTTTGAGGCCAGCATGTGTTGGAGCTATTTTATCAGGGTATCTCTGGGTTTTTTTGTTTTGCTTTGTTTGGTGAAGAAGGAACCTGACCATGGTACAAGGACTTAATGACAAACTGAGTCCTAACTGGGGATTTTCAACTCTTCTAGGAAGAATATGAACAGCTTCCCCAAGAAATTGCTAATGCCAAACCTGTCGTCACACCTGACACCAAACCTGATGCCGTGCTACTGGGTGCCAACCTGAAGGCCGAAGATTTTATAGTGGATGTAAGTAGTGAGCCCCAAGAATAGACTAAATGAAAAATTGTGTTTAGAACACAAGTCTTCCTGGTGGGGTGGTGAGGGGTGTAGAACACAGAAGCTGGCACAAACCTTTAATCCCAGCACTCAGGAGACAGAGTTCACGGCCAGCCTGGTCTACATAGTGAGTTCCAGGACAGCCAGAGCTATGCAGAGAAATCCTGCCTTGGAAAAAAGAAAAAGAAAGAAAGGCTCCTTCAGAGCAAACTTGTGGAAAAACCTGAATTCTTATATTTTTCTCCCGGTAGATGTTAAGTACCCCATATCCAAAAATCTGAAACCTGAAATTTAAAATGTTCTAGAATCTAGGTCTGGGAATTTGCCTCAGTGGTAGAGCACTTGCTTAGCATTCTCTAGGTCCCGAGTTCAGTCTTCAGCACGCACGTGTGTGCGCGCGCACACACACACACACACACACTATCTGAAAGCAAAATTCTGGAAATCCTTTTCTTCCTACCTGATTAATTTCTGCTCACTTCTTTTTTTCTTTTTCTTTTCTCTCTTTTTTTTTTTTTTAAGATTTATTTATTATAGTATTCTGCCTGCATATGAGCATGTACACCAGAAGAGGGCACCAGATCTCACTATAGATGGTTGTGAGCCACCATGTGGTTGCTGAGAATTGAACTCAGGACCTTTGGAAGAGCAGACAGTGCTCTTAACTCCAGCCTGCCTGTTCAATTCTAAAGTCACTGCCCCAGGCAAGCATGCCACATATTTCCACTAGCCATGTTAAAATGAGGACTTGAGTTCTATCTGCAGAACCCACTTTAAAACAGACACACACACACACACACACACACACACACACACACACACACACACAGCATGGTGAAAGAGGCCAGAGCTAGGGAGGCAAAGCCAAGTGGATGCCTGGGGCTTATTGGGTCTCCAGCCTAGGTGACTTGGTGAGCTCCAAGCCAATGAAGGACCCTATCTCAGGAAAAAAAATAAGAAGAATAAAGTGCATGGCACCTGAGGAATGACATTCAAAGTTGGCCTCTGGCCTCCTCTTGTACATGCCCACATATACACAAAAGTTGATGGTCTGCTGTCTATCTGTGTCTGGCACATAGCAAATATTGCCTTTATACCCTCTTTCGTTGAATACTCAAAAGATACTTCCTCTTCCACCCAAGTTTCAAAAGTTTCAAAATCCCCAAAGGTGGTCACAAACCAGGGTTATTCTTATTTCACACAGGACACCTTCCAACATTCCTAGCGCCCGGAGGGCTCCGTTCATTTCTTGTGGTGTCCTTACAACTCTTGAGTTCAGTTCTTGCGGTGGTTATGTGATTGCTTACTTGTTTATTGTTGTAATTAAGGTTATCAACGTGGATTACGGGATGGAAGACAAGAATCCAATAGATAATGTTTACTTCTATTCTAAGAGTGACAGCAAGAAAGCATTCACGATCTCCAAAGATCAGGTAACTGGCTGCGTAAGAGAAGTCCTCTCTAGAGGCAGATGTTTGGCAAGTTCTTCAAGTCATGCCAGTCAGGTTGTAAAATGTCAGTGTGTACTGTTTAAGAGAGCACACACAGCCCATTGAATCAAGCAAGCAGGGAGCAGACGGGCTCACGGAGACGGAGTGGCAAGCATGGGGCCTGTGCCAGGTCCTCTGCATATATGTTGTGGCTGTTAGCTCGGTTTGTTTTTGTGCGACTCCTAACTGTGGGAGCGGGTGTGTCTCTGACTCTTTTGCCTGCTTCTGAGACTCTTTTCCTCCTGTTGGGTTGTCTTGTCCAGCTCCAGTGCAGGGGCTTTTGCCTTGTCTTACTGTATTTTGTTTTATTGTGGTTTGTTGTTGTCTCTTGGAGGCCTGCTCTTTTCTGAGATGGAGGGGGTGTGGATCTGGGGGAGAAGGGAGGTGCTGGGGAGCTTGGAGCGTGGAGAGAGGGGAAACTGTGGTCAGCATGTATTGTATGTATAAGAGAAAAATATATTTTAAGTTAAGAAAAGAAGTCAGGACTATAGAAATGGCTCAGTCGTTATGGGCACTTTCAGCTCTTAGAGAGGATACCGGTTTGGGCTAGCCCGGGTACATGAGACTCTGTCTCAAAATTAAATAAAATTAAATAAGGGGCTGGAGAGCTCTGAGATGCCTCAGAGGCTAAGAACACTGGTTGCTCTTCCAAAGGTCCTGAGTTCAATTTCCAGCAACCACATGGTGGCGCACAACCATCTATAATGAGATCTGGCGCCCTCTTCTGTTGTACAGGCATACATGGAGGAAGAACACTGTATAAATAATAAATAAATAAATATTTAAAAAATAAAATAAAAATAAACACAGTATCTTTATCTAGTTGGGTATGTTAGTACACACCTTTAATCCTAGTACCCTTGGGGCAGAATCAGACAACCTGCTCTATATAGTGAGTTCCAGGCCACCAATAGTGAGACTTTCTCAAAAACAGAAAATCTACCTGGGCAGTGGTGGTGCACGCCTGTAATCCCAGCACTTGGGAGGCAGAACCAGGCAGATCTCTGTGAGATCCAGGCCAACCTGGTCCACAGAGTGAGTTCCAGGACAGCGAAGGCTACAAGGGAAACCCTGTCTCCAAAAAACCAAAAATAAATAAGAAATAGATGTAAGTAGATACATGGATATCTGGATGTAGTGGTACAGGCCTTTAATACCAGGAGCCTAAAGCTGCAGGATCATAGGTTCAAGGCCTGCCGGTACAATGAAGGGAGTTGAGGGGACCCAGAGCAACCCGATGAGACCTTATCTCAGAATAGGAAGGGAAGGGGGGAAGAGAGGCAGCGATGTAGCCCAGCTGTGAGATGTTTGCCTAGCATGCAGTGAGGCCTTGGGTTCAACACCTGATCCACCAATTTAATAATGATAATTTTTTTTAATTTTTAAATAAGGTTAATTCTGTTAGATACACCTAGGACTTGGGATCCCGAGTTCAAGGTAAGCCTAGTCTATAACTATGAGACTTTATCTCACAAGAGGCATAGTAACAGCCAGTTTCCAGTGTCTCCTGTTTGCTGAGCATCATTGAAAGTGCAGTCTTCGGTTTGAAGTTTCAGTTGCAAAATCCAGTGGACCACGGTTGAAAGCATGCAAGTTAAATGTGTTCATCCGTGTATGTTATATGAGAGTCTGTGGTTTGTATATAATTATGTCCTGTAAATCCTGCAGTCGTTTGGTAATTAACATAAAATTCTGAGGCATTTTGTAGTAGATAATTATCTTCTCCTTTGGATTATAATTGGGATAAAATACAAAAGCAGTGCAGTGCTTTTAACTCAACGTTAAAAATGGTACCCCAGATCCTGGAAGGCAGCTGGTTCTTGGAAGTGTGAACTCAAAGCTACAGCAAAAAATCTTTTCTTTTCTTTTCTTTTTTTGTTTAATAAAGGTGTCACAACTGCTGCCACAGAAATTTGCAGAGCAGCTCATTCGAGTGTACTGTAAGAAGAAAGACAACAAGAGCATTCATGACGCCTGGCAATATTTCACTCAGTGGTGTGCGGACAGGGACTTTACCAAGCCACAGGTGGGTCTTATTTATATCCCCGAACATTGACAGGAAGTCTGGGAGTTGTGGTGAGACAGGGGCCTGTGGAGCTCAGGTTGGTCTCAGATTTGCTGCTTAGCTGAGAATGGCCTTGAATTTCTTCTCCTGCTTCTGCCTTCCAAGTCTGGGGAGTTCAGCTCTGCATCAACACAGATGCCTGCTGTAGTTTTCAATTTTTAGGGAAAATCCAAAAGTGATCCTGATCTCTTTTATCCACTGAAAAGTTCTCATTTAAATTGTAGCAATATGGGGCTGGAAAGATGGCTCAGCCGTTAAGAGCACTTCCAGAGGACTCAGGTTCAAAACTCAGCAATCAGCACCCACACGGCGGCCCACAACCAGCTGTAACTCCAGTTCCAGAGGATCTGATGCCCTCTTCTGGCCTCTGTGGGTACCAGACATGCAAGTGGTACACAGACAAAACACCCCTAGGCATAAAATAAGAAACAATCGGTGGGGGGGGGGGGATTCAAAAGAAAAAGGTGGAGAAGTGATTGAGGAAGGTACCTGATGTTACCCTCTGGCTTGTGCCTCCACAGTCAAGCTCACCTGCAGACGCACGTTACACATACATACACCATACACACACACACGTACATAGACACACTACACGTATATCACATATCTCACACACAGTACACACACACACACACGCGCCACACTCATACACATGTATGCCGCACACCCTTAAGGAAAAGGAAAATAAGACGCAGGAGTATGTGTAAGTGCCTTAAACCTTGGTATATTAAGTCAGGCCATGACGAAGCAGTACCTGAGACGGACAGAGTTCCTCAGGACACTGGGTCTCTAGGTGTGGTCTACAAACACCAGTAAATAGCAGTTGTGTAGTACGGTAAGTGCTGTGGTGTGCAGAAGGAGCCCTAGCCAGCCTTGGTTAGATGAGATAAGCCTGCCTTGGAAAGCTTACAAGCCAAGCCCTGAAGGGGGAGAAGAGCCAGGGGCTGTTTACAGGGCTGAAGTTAGGGCTTGTGGGCTGAGGCAGAAGCGACATGGGGAGAGCCGAAAAGGTAGCAAAGAACCTGAGGTCTTTCAGGAGCAGCGCCGAGTGTGAGATGTTTTCTGCACTCCAGTGTGCAAGGGGCAGCCTAGAGCCACTGAACTGGAGCAAGTGGAGTCTCTAGGTTTGCCTTTTCAGTGTGTGCTAGAGTTGAAGTCAGAGGGAAGTGTGATGGAAACGGGTTTTACACATGCTGCCGCCTTTGAGGTGGACAACAGCTCACGAAAGCTGTCCAGGCAGGTCAGTGTGTTCAGCGGAAGGCATCTAACATCGGCTGTTTCCGAAGTTTCGGTAGAGCTAAAAGAACAGAGAAAAGGCGGTGAGGCAGCTGCGGGAGCAGGGGGCGGGGGCCAGGGGCTGTGGCCCCTTCCAGAAGCTGGAGCCAACCCTGAAACCCGGAACAGAGGAAAGAGGAGGGAGATACCCAGGCCTCACCGTCCTCTTCACCTCCAGTCTGTCTCCCAAGGGTTAGGATAGGACTGGTCATGAGGGCTGAGAAGGGAGCTGCTGCTGTTTAATGGAACACAAAGGGTGCAAGTACCTGAGAGCAAATGGGCAAAGGCAGGCTAGCCTTGTCCAGGGAGGCAGGCAGGGTTAGAGAGCCTTGCTGCCTGTGTTTCCTCTAGTCGGGCCACTGTGTTCATTCGAGGAAGCCTCCCCTGTGGTGAAAGGGTACATTTGTCTGGAGCCTATGTTGATGGGGGCCAAAAGGAAGAGGCTTATTTGAAGAGAAAGATTCAAATTCAGCAAGTATTCATGGTCTCACTGTTCCAGTTGTCATTTGTCCCCATCCTCCCCACTCCTCTCTTCCTTCTCCCCCCATTTGCAGACCTGGGTCATTTGTTTTAGAGGAGACTTGGCAAAAGAGAAACAAGATTCCAGGGTAGCTTCTAATTCCCTAAGAGTCCCACGAAGGTGTGTGAACTTGGGCGGTCCTGGGCAACAGTGTGCAGGGTCCCGGCCATTTTCCCATGAGCACGTTTATCTGCCTAGGACTGTGGTATTTTCTAGTTTAATCCAGTCACAGAGCATGGACAGTTTTGAATTTCTCAAGAGTAAGTGTATTTAGAAGCAATCTATGTGTAGGACAAGGGTGTGTGCCCGAGATACACCCCAAATACAATGATAGAAACTGCCTTTTCTCTGTGCCCTGACTTTCTTTCTCTCTTTAATAGGATGGTGACATTATAGCTCCACTTATAACACCTCTGAAATGGAATAAAAATAATTCATCTTGTCGCCAAGAAGCATCCAAAGCCAGAACATGTCTAAATTTTAAGTGAATGCCTGCAACTGGTTCTTTTCAAAAACATCTTCCCCCTTCATAATCAAGTTAGGAAATATAATCATAGAGCCCACTAGTGATTTTTATTTAGCATTCTGAATGTATGTTCATGCTGAAGGGTAAGTTGTTTTTATTCAAAATGAAAATTTTGCGATATATACTATGGTGAGTTGAATAAGAATGGCCTCCTAAGTGCATATAATTCGGTGTTTAGTCATCAGGGAATGGAAGGACTAGGACTTGGTTGAAAGGACTAGAAGGATCAGGAGGTGTGGCCTTGTTGGAGGAAGTGTGTCACTGAAGGTGGGCTTCAAGGTTTCAAAAGTCAATCTAGTCTCTCCCTCCCTCCATCCATCCATCCCTCTCTCTCTCTGTCCCTACCTCTTTCCCTTCCTCCGTTCCTTTCCCTCTTTCCCCTCCCTCTTATCCACCCTCCTTCCCTCCCTCCCTCTGCCCGTGGATGAGGATGTAGCCCTCAGATACTGCTCCAGCACCATGCTCTGTGCGATGAGGATGGTGAGTTGCGCCTCTAAGGCTGTAAGCCAGTCCCCAGTTAACTGCTTCCTTTTATAAGAGTTGCCTTGGTCATGGTGTCTCTTGACAGCACTAGAACAGTGACCAAGACACGTACCATGAAAAGCATTAGCTTATGTATTTCTAACATTAATCGAAGCCTTTCTCCTTTAGCAACCTATTTTTTCAGGATAACTCTCCCATCTATTCTGAACTCTCAGGACAAATGACTGTTTTTAATTTAGAAATTGAGATAAGGGCACAGATTAGAATTCAAGGTTGAAACTGCCATGCACCATGTGTTTAAAAAAATAAACCAAATCCTACCCCTCCCCACCTTGAAGAGGTTTCTGTCACCCTGTTCCCCCAGGAAAGAAAGCTACCACTCCCTTCCAGCCCTGTTAGGTGCCAGGCTGGGGAGCATGGGGAGCCGCTGAGAGTGTGGCAGGCAAGGACTTTCCCATTGACCTCAGCTGCACCCCGGTCTTTCTAGTACAGCTCCCCCTGCCCTCACACCAGGCTCTCCTGAGACTGTTAGGACTCCAGACAAGATCAGCTTCTTCGCACCTGAAACCACTCCAGCTCCAAGGGACACACCCTTGCCAGCCAGGGGACAGACTTCCACCTCATCTGAGTTGAACTGGTCAGCTGCTCTGAGAGCACAGACCCCACCCTCTGGCTGCTCTCCCCCAGGACCTCACCTCGCCTGCCTCAGTGTGTGTACGGGTTTCAGAACATTCTGGACTGCCTTTGTGAGTCCAGCGGCTGCCCATTGGGCCCTCGGTTCCCTGTGTGGCCTCTGGAGCCACTGTGGCTCCCCCTGCTGCTCCCCTCGCCCCCACTCTGCACAGCTTCACCAAGAACTGAGTCCGGTTGTGGAACCAGAAATGCTGGCAGCCACAGGCGGTAGGGACAGAGGCAGGAGCTGCGGGTTGGCATCTCAGTGATGATAAGTGAGATGGCAGCCCAGGCAGTGGGCAGCTCGAGTTCACCAGCTGTGCCCCCTCTCCTGGGTGGCCAGGTTCGCTTTTGTCCACTCGTGGGTGAAGAATATTGGTGTGTGTGTCCCTATGGGCTCAGAAATGCACAAGAGAGGTGCCAGCTTGCCCTGCTGGCCGTGATGCCTCCATTACTCAGGGAGCCAGCCAGAGCCCCCTCTTCGTGTACACAGAGTCAAGATGAAGAACTGTATATTTTTCTGCTGGTGCTGTTGTTGTTTTGCCAGTCTGTTTTTTAACCATTAGAGTTTATTCTGGAATTTTGTAGTCCTAATTTTGTACTATGCCATCTGGGAAACAATTTTGACCCCTTTTATGCACAAGCAGCTGTGTCTGTGCCTTTGAAGCTGTTTTCATTGTGTGTACCTATGTCATTTACAAGACCGCATAAAAATGGAGATCTTTAACAGCTTTGTCTCTTGGCTGTCGGCTTGCTGTAAGTAGAACCATAGGTTGAGGGTCGGTGCCTTGGGTTAAAGCTTCCCTGAATGTATTTCTGTCTTGCAACTGGAGGTACGCGCCTTCACCCTGTCTCCTGTTTGGATTCCCGTGCAGAGGAGTGTGTTTCCTGTGGGGCCCACATACATGCTTCTTGTCACAACATTGTGTGGGGTCTGCAGGATGCTGGGATTGACAGGGTCCCAGGTCCCTGGCTTTCCTCACAAAATAAGAGCAGGGTAGAGTCTGCTCCCTTCCAGCAGGAGAAGGGCAGGCCCTTCTTGGGAAGGGTAATGGGGTCTTAGTTCACAAGGCTCTTCCACCTGAAAATGAGCTCTTTCCTCTCTCAAGCCCCTGGGGTTCCATCGACAAGGGTTCGGCTTCGCCCAAGGACACACGTTGTTCACTTGCAGCTTTCACGTGTCTCCCGGGAAACTGAGTAACAGATGTGTGAGCACCTGACCGCTGAGGGTACTCAGCCCCACCCTTTGGGTTCTAGAAGAGGCAACAGGACAAGGGGTAAGATGATGCTTCTGCTCTTTATTAGTTTTGAGAACTGAGCCCAGGTTTCTGAGGATTGACAGCATTCTCCAAGTAAAAATCTCTAAAACACACAAAAGAGGTGTGTGGGGGCGGTATGTGCCCACGCGAGCATGCTTTTGAGCACCTGACTTGACCGAAAGAATATGAAGTGTTATGGGGGGGGGGGGGGGGCACGGTCTTTTTGGCTTTTGTTTTCTCTTGTTTTTGATCTTCTAGGAATTGTCAAATCCTGTGAAGACAAGTTTTGTGCTTCTTCAATAAGAGTGCCTTACACACCTTCACAATCAAGTCTGCTGGAGGACAGTGGCAGCACGGTTCTTGGGTTTTCAGGCCATAATAAGGAAGGCCACATGAGGGTTCTTCCCCATCCTGAGTCAGGCAGCATGGCTGCCCTGTGTGAGGAAGGCCTGGGTGGCACCCAAAAGTGACCTGAGCATGGTCCTGGGAGACGTCAGCTCAGAACCCAGGCCTCCAGCTCCTCGATGCAGAACTGCTCCTGCCGGGCCAGCACTTCGTTGTTAAAGGTAGCACAGGGATAGCTCCCGCCATGGTACAAGTCTCCATCCAACCACAGCCCAAACTGGCCGCTGAGGAGAAGAGGAAACAGGCTGTGGAGATGGCTCGGCCGGTACGGTGTGTGCTACCCAAGCACGAGGACCTGCCCCCTGCACCACATAAAAAGCTAGGCAAGTCACGTGCTTCTGGAGCCCTCACACAGGGAGAGAGGACAACTGTGGAGGCCTAGCCTTATCTCCAAAGATAAAGAGGAGATGGACCGTGGAAGACACCTGATGTCAACCTCAGTCCTCCACATGCATGTACACACACATAGAAGAGAAAAGAAAGATGTTGGCACAGTTGTGGCAGGTCTTAGGCCTCTGGGACAGACCACCATCACCAGCTTTAGCCACATTCCCAATGTAGCCCTAGTATAGCTGCTCTTATACCAGCTTATCAGGGAGTGGGATCTCCTCGTGTTGTCCTCTATAATTCAGGGCATTTTTTAAACAATCCATTGATTTTTTAATGACTATGTTCAGTGGTGCAGCCATCACCTCAACCCAGTTTCAGAACATTCTAATCTTCACGTTTGACAGAGAACCTAGGCTGGAAGCAGGAAGTGACTGGGTAATCAGCGAGGCTGTGTCCTGTGCCCCGCTGCCTCTCTGTGGCGCTGTGCTAATCCAGGAAAGCTTTCTTTTGCCTTCAGGGTACAGCTTAATGTGCTTCCATGTGAAGATCACACCGGGGGGAGAAGCCTTCATTTTCCTTCCCTAACTCCCTCCCACTCCTGTCGGTACACTCACAGGCTGTGTTCTTAACCAGATGCACCTCTTCCGATGAGCCTTGTCCCTTGTTCGGAAATCTGGGGCTTTCCCATCCTGTGACCGTAACCTCATTCATGTGGCCGTTCCCAGCCAGTTCAGACTACGATGCTGCTAAGCACGTGGTCCACTCTCCTCACTTGACTTAGAGGACAGCTGGTCGAATGTGGGACACAGCCTGCCCATTCCACCTGCAGCTCCCCTGGAAGAGGAACATAGGCCACCCCAAGGCGTGGGAGACAGAGACACGCACCTTCCACTGCCCAGCATCAAGGAGTCCAGGTCTCCTTTCACAAAGAAAGAGTTGCTTCCTGTCCACTTGAAGACCTGAGTGAAAAGGAAAGGCTGGGTCACGTGAGTGCTGGCCTTGCGGTCTCACTCCAAGCCACGTGGTGGCAGTGTTGTGCAAGGACCAGAGGCTCCTGGGCCCGACGAATGAGTACCAGGAAAGGCTAGCCTCCCAGACCTTAAGATTTTAGCATCCTGGACTTCGATCCTTATGCCCTCCGCCTTGGATCCCCTATATCCTGGCAGCTCCTTTATTCCAGTGATCAAACAAAGCCTCTGTGTCTTTCTGCTTTCAAAGATGGAAGGAGGAGGGAGACTGGCCTAGCCTGGAGGGATAGACCTGCCTCCCAGCCAACTTGATCACATGAACAGGCCATTAAGACTTGCCATGACCTTCTGCGAATTTCTGTCCCACCACCTGTGTCACAGCCTCCTGCCGACCTTGATGCGCATCGTATGCTGCCCACAGTGCTCTCCATAGTGACCTGAATGGCCCGCCCAACGCTAAATCTCACCCCATCTTCTACCTAACGCCTTTCGGGGCCCTCCACCGTGAAGGAGACAGAATCAGCCCTCCAGCCAGAGTGTGCCTGCCCCATGCCTGCTTTTCTCAGTGCCCTGTCCTTCCCTCACTGCCCCTGAGTCACACCGGCCTTTCTGCTCATCAGCTTGTGAAGGTACATGTGCCTTGGGCCCGTCTACTTTCAGACCCCTCTGCCCACAGTTCTCCCCAGCCCCGTCCTGCAGGGTCACTTCTTACGGCACAGCCTGAGTATCATTGCAGAGAGACTTGTTTGATTTTTTTTTCCCTAGGCACCTACCCCTCTGAGACAGCTCCGTGCTTTCAGCATGCGCCTTGCCTCTATCCACTGCCACTACAACATAAATTCCAGAACTGCCCAGATGCCCTGCTAGACTCATCAACTAAAGGGATGAATAATCAAGAGCCAAATTAGGCAATAAAAAGTCTTTGAAAGGGCCACAAAAGTGTAGTATGTTGCTTGCTGTAATTAGTTACCCTAAATGCTAGAAACAAACAAAAACAAAACAAAACCAAAAAAAAAAAAAAAAAACAAAAAACCCCAAGGAATAGAAAGATAGAGCCCAGGCTGAGAAGGGATAAGATAAAGTGAACAAGTGGCCACAAGAACACAAGACTGTCTAGCATTTCTTCACTTTCTCGGCTTTCTTCAAGGACATGTTCTTCTAATTTGAAAGAGCGAGATAAGCATTGCTACAGCAGAAACGAAGACAAAGTTTGTCATGTTGCTTGGAGCAGCAGTTATGTGTGCAAGCACTGGGAATTCATGAAGAGCCCCAGCCCAGAGACAGGCAAGGAGCAAGTGTTTCAAAGTCTGGGACTCTAACAACAGGCTGGGGTGACAGTGACTCCCAGAAAATGATGGGTTTCATGTAATAATCTTTTTTTAGCACTTACAAACCAAGCACAGTTAGGCATTGGGTAGAACAGTAGACACAGTGAACAAAACATCTACCTCATAGACATTTCAAGAGAAGACAGGTAAAGAAATAGGAGAAACGGGATGTTAGGAATACTAGTGAGAGAAGTGACCAACACAGAGGGGCAATAAAGGTTTTCAGGGAATGGTCATTTCAGATAGTGTGATGTGGACTCTGTGATGGGGACAGTAGGGTAGCCCTGATGATTCAGTGGAAGGGCGTGCTGAGGAGGATAGCACATGCAAAGGCCCTGATTCAGGGGGAGGCCCTCCAGCTTAGGCCAGCATTGCTGGGGCAGAGTGAGGGGAAAATAAATGACCAAATATAGAAAGAGGTTGGGGAAGAGCCATCAGCATCAGGTTGGCATGAAAAGAGCCGCAAAGGAAGCAAGGACGGTCTTCAAAGATAACTGAACCTCCGGCTCTGTTGTTGGTATAAGAAAGTTCTCAAGCTTTGGGCTTCTAGTACGGGCTGCAGGAAGGAAGGTGTCGTGACCAGCCTACAGTCTTGGTGAGCCCATCACCTCTCCCAGGAAGGGAAGGCGGCCTGCAGCTGATTTTGGCAGGCGGTGTAGCGGGTACATTTTGCTGTGTTGGCAAGGCCATCAAATGTGACCGACCATCCTGGTGTGAGACTAGACGATTGTGTGACAGAGTGTATTTGCAGGTGTCTGCTCACTGGAGACCTCAAATAGCAAACAAAAGCAGCCAAACCGTTTTCAAGGGCACACTGGGCAAATCCAGGTACCACCTCACACACTGACCCCGTCCACTTTCGAGGGTCCCACCGTGCCCCCCTCCCCCCGACACCCTCCGCCTCTGAAGTGCCCTGCCTAAGTGGAGACTCTGGGGTTGGTTCACCCATCTCCCTCGCCCACTGACTGAGCTGGGCATGTCTCCAACCACTCTGTGCCTGGGTCCACTCATCTGTAAGACCAGCCGGTGACAGTCGCATACACCTGTGGGACCTTTGCAGTGACTGAGTGTGCCGGTAAACGCAGACCGCTGAGTTACTGTCGTTTGTGTGTGATGGAAAGATGCGCGCTGCGCCTATCCTGCGGCACGCAGCAGCTCCGGTCAGCCGACAACCCAACCACAGAGAATCTTTGGATGGAAGATGTTTGCAGCTCTCTGTCCCCCTCCTTCAAAAGTCCCAGCTCTTCAGCAGCCCGTGCCTTCTGAGGTCTCAGTCACTTGTGCCTGTCACCAATCTCTTCACTTATCATTTGGGGGACCTGAGCACTGAGTCCCTCTCTCCGTTCCTCCCCAGCTCCCTAGTGAACTCTGGGTCCACCCACCCATCTCCTCTGTCCCTTTCCTTCTCACTAGCAGTTTCTGTCTTCATGGTCACATGTGGCACTTGACCTTAGCAAGGCGTGCAGGGAGCCTCCACCACCCCCAGTTCATTTTGAATGGCCCTCTCCATCTACCCACTCCTTCCTGTTGTCCTACCCATTGGTCAGCTCTGTCAGTGCTCCAAGCGTTTGACCTCAAGGAGACCCCTTCTCTTTGACTCCACCTTTGTCCACCCTTCGTTCCCTCTGGCTTCACTGGCCTCCTGCCCAGTCTAGGCTCTGTGGTCCATTTGCTGTTTTGACTCCCTCCTACCGCTTTCCCATTGTTTCTCTGTGAATGGGGCCTGCCAAGAGCTGAGTCTGGGAAAGCTGGCTGCTCGGGCACAAGCCTGGCCAAGGAGGAGCTGCACCCTGCTGAGCAAAGGGCAGAGGCAGAGACGGCCTCTCCCTGCCACTGGTGCCCTCTAGGGCTCGCTCACATGTGGGGCCTGCGCGATTCCTCCTGGCTCCTCCAGCCCTCATGCGCGCGCCCCTCACAAGAAGCCATTGTGTGCCACCTCCTCCCGCAGCGAGGGTGCGCCTGCGCGTGAGCCCATCCTGTCCCTTCCAGCCTGAGCCGGGCGGTGTGCCTCCCTCGCTTAGTCAGCTCACGGTTTCTGGAGATCTTGACGGGCAGCTAAGGGCACTGCCGTGCCAGTCCTTGCCCTGTGACGAAGAGGTGGCCCAGCACAGGGGACTGAAGCTGGGGGCACTAGGATCCCCAGAGCTGTGACCTGTCCTAGCCTTCCTCCGTGGCGGAAGGTTGAGCCTCACCTTTAGCTGTGGGGAGAAGGAGAAGAGGAATGTCTCGCCAGTACCGTAGAAGCCTTTGCTGAGTCTTATAGCTGAGGAGGAGAAGGCGCCAAACATCTGGAAAGCAGAGAAGAGAGCAAGAAAGGATCTGGGCATCCAGCATCCCCCTTGTTTACTGGGCTTGGAGATTCATGCTCGGACTCCGGGACTCCGGGGAGCTGGGTGCAAAGCTGGGGACAGGGCAGCTAGCCCTTTCCCACACTCCACAGGAAGAGCCCTTGTTGGCTGCTTTCCCTGAGTTGTCATGACTCCTTCTTCTCCTTCCCCTCCTTCTTCCTCTCCCTCACTCTCCCCCCCCCCCCTCGCCCACCATTCTTTGTGTGGTCAGTCTGCCTGGTGTCTGTGTTTCTTCTGTCTTTCTTCAGGATGCTGATGTGTAGCCCAGGATGATCCAGAACTTAACTTCTGATAGAGCTTTTACAGGCATGTACCGTGTCCATCTTAGCTTTTCTTAAACATACCTTGTGTGTGTGTTATATGAATGTGAATGTGTTCGTGTGTGCGCACAGGTGCATTCTCACAGACGTTCATGCAGATGGAAGCCAGCGGCCAACATGGAGTATCTTCCTGCATTGCCTTCCACCTTCCTTTCAAGACAGTCTCTCACTAAATCTGGAGCTGATGAATGGGCCTGGCTGACCAGCAAACCCCAGGATCTTCCCTGTGCTGGGTCACAGATATGTGTGGCTTTTTACATGGCTGCTGGGAATTGAGCTCAGGTCCTCATGCTTGCATGGCAAAAACTAACTATTTGACGGAGCCACCGCCTCAGCCCCAAATGTACTTATTTTATGCAAGCAATGCTTCTAGAAGAGCTAGGAATTATACACAAGCAGAAAGAAAACAAAATAAGCCATCATCAAATCCCCCCCCCCTTCTATTGCCCCAAGGTGACTTCTGTGGCATTGTGGGTCGCTTCCTCCTGGCACCCATTCAATGCCAGTGCACACACTTTCCTGCATGCTGACACCCCACACACAAGCTGTTCCTTCTCGCCTTTCTACACCAACTTCAAATGTACAGAAAAGCTCGAGGCTGGGGGCAGCTCAGTTGGTAGGGTGCTTGCCTAGCATGTACAGGGCCCTAGGTTCAATCCCTAGTACCACAATAATAATAATAATAATAATAATAATAATTATTATTATTATTATTATTATTATTGAAAGTTCAAATCAATCATGGACTCCTTCTGCCTTAGACCCAGCAAGGAGTTTGCCCTAGTTCCCATGCTGGCTTTCTCTCTTATGTCTCTCAGACCTGCTTGACTACGATACTATGACCCTTCACTCCTAGTCCACCAGCTCCTATGAATGGGGCTTGCTCTTGTTGTTGTTCATTCGTTGTTGTTGTTTAGTCGGTTGGTTTGGTTTGGGTTTTCAAGACACAGTTTCTCTGTGTAGACTCTGCAGGCCTCAAATTCAGAGATCCGCCCACCTCTGCCTCCCAAGCGCTGGAATTAAAGGTGTGCACCGCCATCATCCGGGACTTGCTCTTTTATAACGGCGGTGCTGTGATCACAGCCATGAGAACTAGCAACAGTTCTGGTATTATCTACTTGTATCATCGGGTGTTCAATTGTCACTGACTTAACCAAGAGTGTGCCTCACACCTGCTTTAGAGAGAAACAGCAGGCATGGTAACTGTGGCTCTGCACCTTGCTTCTTGCCTGCCTGCCATTTGTCTGATGACAAACTCATCTTCCTTCTGCAGGATGGCTAGTGGGGTCGGGTTGTGGACCATTGAGGTGATGTGTGGCAGGGTGGTGGGGTGCAGGATTTAGGCTTAATGCTAGGAGAAACTTCTCCTAGGACATAGTGCTCTGTCATAGAAGGGGCTCTGTCCAAACAGGTTGAGTTTCTTGTCTCTCAAACAAGAAATCTTCCTAGACAGGCGCTCCTGTCTATGTGGGGTACCCTGAAATCTCTTCCAAAACTGCTATGTTCCTTCTGTAGAGGAGCATTTAAAACCAGCTCACCATCCTACCCACCTTCTGCATGGAGAACCTGCCAGAAATTCTATTATTGGACAGACCACATGGACTTCAGACATAGATGTCAAAGTTCCTCTGTGGGGTGTAGGAACTGCCTTGGCCTGCCCATCTTGGTTTTCTCCAATCCATCCCCCCCCCACACACACACACATACTGGCTGGGGATATTTTCAAAATGTACATCCATCATTTAAATGTAAAGCACCTGCTTGAAGTCCTTCTGTAAGAGCCAGAGATGTCTGCTTGTATTCAGCCCTGGAGAGCCTGAGGCAGGCAGGAGGATCTGGAGTTCAAGGTCAGCGTAAGCTACATACAAGGGTTCTGAGCCAGCTTGCGTTTTAATGAGTGAGACCTTGTCTCAAAACAAATCAGAGGAACCCACCCATGGCATTGGGCTTGCAAAAGTAAGGATGTACTTTTGCATGACGCCAGTAGTTAGTTGCCCAGCCCCCTCCCCATACACAAGAAATTAGGCTATTAACCCTAAGGGTGCTGGACCATTTCTGGCTTGATCCTGCTCTTCTCTACATCCCTAACCAGGCACACAGAAGTAGCTCCAGAAATGGCTGTGTGGTGAGGATGAGGGCCTGGCTTCAGGTGGGACAGGCCTCAGCACCACCCTCAGTGCCCCTGAGAGGTGGTGCAGGCTGTCCCCTCTGCTTTCTTGCACCTCATCCCACCCTGGGCAGCAGCCCCTGGTCTGTCCGGAAGCTTGTGTTCCCGGGCCCAGCTCACCTGCCCATCCTGATCTCTCAACATCAGCAGTACGGGCCCACCGTGGCCTTCCATCTGTCGGTACAGTCTCCGAAGACTGAAGCCGTCCCTTGAAGTGCAGAAGGCCAGGATCCAGGGGTGGCCGGTGACCCTCGGGGGCAAGTGAAGGCTGAGCTGGAGGCAGAGCTAGAGCTGAATGAAAGGACAGCCTCCATCTCTTCTCCCCCACCACTCAGTCTCTCCCCTGCCCAGAGGCTCTATGCCCATCAGATACAGCCTTTGGAGCTAGTTTTTGTACCCATTTTACACATAGATGAGAAAAACTGAGGTTCAGGAGATCGAGAGTAGGTGGCAGAGCTTGGGTTCTACCCAAGCAGGGCAGATATCTGAGTCCTCACCCTGGTCATTTGGTCCTTTGAGGACAGATGAGAGACTGAGTCTCTCCTGGTACTTCCTCATGGGTCTGGCCCACCCCAGCTCTGGCTTTAGTCCCCAGGATCCATGACACCCTGGCTACATTCCCCAACTCTACCCAGAGGGAAGGGTGGCACTAGCGTGACTGGAGAGGACAGGGAAGTCCAGGAAGGGAGCATGATTGATTCAAGGTGACACTGAGCTGGGGACATTGCAGCTGTGACTCCAGCACCCCTGGGTGTGGCTGGTAAAGGGAATAGGTTCAGGGTTGAAGTCCTACTACACAGAATGTGCCCGAACCTGCTTAATCTCTGAGGCGCCCAGGACCTGGCTGGCTTCTGTCAGCTGAGGCTCCACAGGGTCCTGGGGGGCTGGAGCTGGCTCCTCCTCTTCCTCCTCCTCGCCCTCCTCCCCAGACAGGGTGTCCTCCATTTGGGTGGGCTGTAAAGATACAAAGGAGCTTGGTAGATTGAAGGACACAGGGGCACCAGCTGTCCCCATATCCCGAGCTCCAAAGCTAGTGTTGCCTTGTCCCCTTCCCCAGGGCCCCTGCAAGCCCAGAGGAGATGGGACACACCCACCACAAGACTCTTCCTACCCACAAACCGCTTCCTCCTGGCTGGTGAAGGAAGGAGGGTGACAAAGGCCTGTGAGGCGCCCCTCAGATGAGCATCATGGTCTGTTGCCAGTTTGTTCCTGCCCCAGGGTAAGCACCAGGCTCCATGCTCCAAGCCTGGAAAAGGAGACTGGAAGGGCAGGCAGGGGTCTAGTTCTGCCGCAGCTGTGTGTGTCTGGACATGAACTAGTGGCTAAACCAATACCGATCGCAAGCATGGCTGACAGGCATGAATGTGTGAATGGTCTCTTTGAATCCTCCCCGTATCCTAAGACAGTGCCGCTGATTTCTGCATCGGACAGGAAAGCCCCGGGGCTCACCTTCAGTCGGTGTGGAAATGGGTGCTGTCACACCTCACTCTCTGCAAAATATGTGTTCGCCCACGTGAGTTGTACGTTGCTAATAGACGCCTACGTGTGGGGAGGCTGGAGTGTTGGCTGGCAGTGTGCACTGAGGGTGAGCTGGAGTTATGTGCCTATATGCGGGTATCCGTGGGCACAGATGCTGATGTAGTCATTCTCGTTCATTTAAGTGTGCTCCCATCTCTACCACGGTGTGGAGGATTTGAGAGGAATAAATCACACACACACACACACACACACACACACACACACACACACACACTTCCACTCCAGCCCAGGCCCCTCCCTGCTAGAGACCTCAATCACTTTCCCAAGTGAACCCACATCCCGTGCTGAGCCCTTACCAGCTGAGTGTAACGCCATCGTCTGCTTTTCATTCTGTCACAGTTCAGGACAGGGTAGAGTCCTTGTCCCTGGGGAGGGAAATGCTGAGAGACAGAGCCAGCAATGAGGAGGTGGCTGGGCACACCCCACTGGGTCCACGCCTGCCTGGCCGCCCTTTGCTCCCTCTCGCCTGTCATCCCCAGGCCAAGTGGCCGATGGGTGGGTCTGTGAGCCAGCCACTCGGCATTCAAGGCCTCGTGGGCAGTTAGCATCTACCACATGCTAGCCACGCACAAGAGTCCAGCTGTGAGTTCTGGCCTCTTCTGTGCCCTTTCTAGAAGTCTGGCCTGGGAACATTGATTCTTTGCAGGATACCTAAGGTCCAGACTAGGGATCCAGGACTGCGGATTTCATGACTGACTGAGAATAAGCCCATTTGCACCCCAGGCCTCAATTTCTCAGGATGTAACATTTAAAAAAAAAAAAATCGGGCACTAAGCCACCAAGCTACTAAGCCAGGCATAGTGGCACACACATTTAATGCCAGAACTCGGGAGGCAGAGGCAAGTGGATCTCTGTGAGTTCAAGACCAGCTGGTCTTCAGGTCAGCCAGGGCTACACAATGAGACCCTGCCTCAAAAAATATATATATGTTGTGTATGTATTTGTGGGCATGAACCAACCAAGACACATGTATTGTGCCAGAGGGAAACTATTGGAAATCATCCTTCTCTCTCCACCTTTATGTGAGTTCAAAGAATTGAATTCAGGTCATGAGGCTTGCGTGGTAAGCACTTTTGCTCACTGAGCCATTTTGTTGCCCCTCTCTATAGCATTTAACACATCAGGCCAGAAATCTCAGAAGGCTTTCCAGGCCTGACAGCCGGCAAGTCATGTCCCTCTCAAACCCAATGAGTGTGTTGTAGCAAAGAGCTGAAGGGGCATGCCCAGACCAAAAGAACTGACCTTTTGAAGACATAGTTTTGCCTAAGGGTGTGTAGCTCATTAGGAGGTGTTTCCCTAGCAAGTGTGGGGCCCTGGATCCAAGCTCTAGTATAAAGAGAAAGAAAGGAAAGTGAGGGAGAAAGAAAAGAAAGAGGAGAAAGAAGAAAAAGAGGAAAGGGAGGAAGAAAGAAAAAAAAAGACAGGAGTAGAGGGGGAAGGGAAGAAAGAAGGAAAGGAATGAAGGAAGGAAAAGAAAGGGAAGGGGAGGAAGAAAAAGAACACAGGCTACACCTCCTCTAACCCAGCACAGATCCCTGCCCTCCAGGGTAACTTACTCCCGGTGTGGGCAAGGCCCTAGGAAAAAGAGAAGAGGGAGGAGGAGAGAAAATGAGGGAGGGAGAGAGAGAGAGAGATTTATCCTTTACTTGGTTACTCAACCCTGGGGACTGACTCCACACCCTCCCCCTCTGTAAGCATCTGTCTCATAAGAAATGAAGATAACGGCTGAGGATCAGGATGCTAAACTTAGCCTCCATCCCCTCTCCCCTGTGCTCAGTTCTGTGTGGTGACCCACAGCACCGGATATTTGATGGAACTGGATAAACGCCAGTGTTTATTACACCTGCCTCCTGGAAAAATCCAGTGTCCGTTTCCTGACAAGAGGCCACTTGGTCTCCATTGGGGAGCCTTACTCTACTGTGAGGAGCAATGGGGGAAGGAAAGAGCGGGAGCTGGGGGACAAGGCAGCTGATGGTTTACTCACCCCAACAATCCTTAATGGCCCCGTTGCTGCTCATCCATTGATGGCCTCTCTGATCCCCCAAAGATGAGGCCACACCCAGAAATGGCCTGTCTACCTGGCTGAACACAGTGACTTCACTCTCAACACCTGTCCTCTGTGAGTGACTGGTGTGTGAGCCCAGCTCTGGCTCCAGCCCTTCTCCCTGCCTCTTATGTCTGCCCCCAACGCAACAGCCCTGGTCCCATCCCAGCCCAGTTCCAACTGGGAAGGCGCCAATGATTATCCTACATCAGAAACTCAAATCCCACAAACACACCAACAAGACCTTGCTGCCCCCAGGTCCCTAGCCCTGTCGCCCTCAGCTGAAAGATGGCTCCGTGCCTCCAACATGTTTCTCACGGGCCCCTAAGTATCACTTGTTTCCTGATGTCCACCGCTATGGCCAGCCCTCTCACTTAAGGTTAGAATCAGTGACACACAAATGACATAAGAAAGGGCTGTACTGTGGGTTCTCCACCAATCACCCCAAACTGTAGGGAGCACAGGTCTGAACCAGCCAACCTCCTCTCCCAGGTAGGATAACTTCCCCTCCCTCATTGGCCTAGGCACATCCGACACCGTCTCACACAGGGAGCCCTCTGTCTGGCACGTAGTGGGCACCGTTACTTCTCTATCTTTAGCTCACAGTAGGACTGTGAGGGCTGTTTTTCAATCACAGGACTCAAGACTTGGAGAAGGCTTCATAGTGAGTGGCTCTACCAGGCCAGGAGTCCCTGAAAAACATGCTGAGCAGATAAGCTCGCTAAGGCATGGTGATATGGTGCCTCGGTCCATCTCCACACACCTAGGAGAGTTACCCGATGGCTATCAGATGATTTGGGCCTGGAGACCAGGTGACCAAGGCAACATTCCCTCCAGGAAGCATGGAGTGCCTGAGGACTTGTATTATAGGGAAAACAGGCAAGTGAAGGGCCCTGTTGTCATCTCAAACATGGCTGTTGCAATGCGTGTTTGAACTGTAAACAGCTCAGGGTCACGGGCCTGGCTCTGCTGCTTCCCCCTCCCCTCACCCCACTTCTTTTTTTGTTTCTTTCTTTTTCAGTTTTTGAGATAGAGTTTTACTATGTAGCTTGGCTGGCCTAGAACTAGCTATGTAGACCAGGCCATCCAAGAACTCTTAGAGACCCTCCTGCCTCTGCCTCCCCAGTGTGGGCATGGTTAAAGGCGTGTGCCACTAAACCTGACTCACCCACGGCCTCTTGGCCGGCCCTCCCCCCTACATTCAGCCCCTGACCACCAAGCACTGTGAGAGACCAATGAGGTTTGTCTCACTGTCCCATTCTGTGTCCTCGTGTCCTCAAGACTCAGTATGTGATCTGCAGGAACACCCCTTGCCAGGTTACAGCCCCTTCAGAGATGTCACCGCTGGACTCCAGCTGTGAGGGTCCTGGCAGCCCCGCTCCACCATGCAGCTCTCTTCACCTTTCCCTACCACCAGACCTCGCACGGCCCCTTTCAGAACACAGCCGCCACCCCCAGGAATGGCTTTTGCTGTGTATGGTGCTGAGAACCCAGAGCCTCAGCATACCAAGCAAGCACCCTATAATTGAACTTTGTCCGCAGTCTTTGATTTTTTGAGAGAGAGTTTCTCTATGTAGCCAAGGTTGACCTAGAATTTACTGTGTTGTCTCGATTTGCGGGGGGTGGGTGGGTGTATTTCATATGGATGAATGTTTTGCCTGCTTGCACCTATACCATAGGCGTGCCTGATGCCCAGGAGGCCAGAAGAGGGTATGGGATCCCTTAGAACTAGAGTTACAGATAGTTGTGAGTCACCAAATGGGTACAGGAAGCTGACCCTGGGTCCCCCGCATGAGCAGCAAGTGCAGTTGGCTGCTGAGCCATCTCTCCAGCTCCTGCCTGGAACTCTTGATCCTCCTGCCTTCGCCTCCTAAACGCTGGAATCACAGGTGTATGCTACCGTGCCCAGAGTCTTCAGGAAACAACGTAAGCATACCATGAAGGGGAAAGGCGAGTGGCTGTGAATCCCTCACTGTGGGGATTATTTCCAAGTATGAAAACTGATGCTTGCAAATGGTTTAAGAGCCTGTGGGGGAAAGTCTCCTCTACTCTGTTAAGAGCAGAATCTGCAATTCATTCTGATTTCAGCAATCCAAAAGAAAGCTGAAAAGAATCAGTAGAACACGACCAGAAGGGAACACGGCTGGGTTCACTGGGCTGCCTGGCTACTCTCTGTGATACGGAACGCTCTGGCATCTCCCTCGGGCGCCTTGGGAAGTCAGTTGCTCTTTTCTGAGGTCCCTTTTTGCATCCAGCCTTCATCCCTCTCAATCCTCTCCCTTCCCCCAACCTCAGCTGGTGTCTCCTGCCAGTCAGCTCACCTTCTACTCCCTCACCTCTCCTCCATCCTGAGGGGTGATGGAAGATGGGCCCTGCTCTTTTCTGAGGCTGAGCTGGCTCCCTCTCCTCGCCTGCCCCTTGTTCCTCTTCCTTGCTGATCCCAAGCTTCCCCATGAGCCTGCTACTGTTCCCCTGCCTCCACTCTGTCCAGGCTCTTCCTATGGCTCTGGGCTCATGGTGCCAGCAACCCCTTTCCAACCTGCTCTACTCTTTGGCTTTGGGGGGGATGGTGTCCTCCTCTTTTATTCTCTCTCGAGTGACTATTTTCTTGAACCAGAAATGCTTATCTTTCTGGTTCTGGATCAGTTTTCTTCTCCTCAGACACCTTCCCTGAGTAACTTTACCCAGTGTCAAAGTGAATCTTTTCATCACTTTGGTGAATGGGGCCCAGGCTGGCCCCAAACACACTATGTAGCCCAGGATGACCTTGAACTTCTAGTCCTCTTACCTCCACCCTCTGAGTGCTGGGATTACAGAGGTGTGTATCACCATGTCCTGTTTTATGTGGTGCTGGGTCTGGAACCCAGAACCTGAGTTTGTATGCCGGGTAAGCACTCTGCCAACTGAGCTACACCTCCAGCCCTGTTCTGGATGCTAACTACTCTGGACCTAGTTGCTAGCATGGCTTTTTGTGCCCATGCCACTGCTTTTCTAGGTCTCTATTTGGACATCTCCACAGACGCTCAAGCTAGACTGTGTCCTCTCTGAACTGATGTTCTCTTACCCTTTGACACCGGCAGGCCTGTGCTTCCTGCTGAAGCAAACGCTGCCGTCATTTGCTCTCTCTCTAGAGCGGGTGATGCTCTGAACTTGCCATCATTTCTCTGAGTCCTCACTTCCGGCCAAAAGTGTCTGGCTCCTGGAAGCAGAACCCACACTTTCTCTATAGCTTCTAGATGCATGGGAGTCCCCCCTAGCTCCCTGAGTCACCATGTTCCTCCGTCCCTGAGCTCGACCAGTATCTGTTCACAATTGTCAGCGCAGGGACCGACTTCTGGACATAAGCTGGATGGTGCGGTTCCCTGACACCGCAGTTCCTAGTGTTTGTCGCTGCCTCAGGGTGATCCAATCCAATCCGCTGCCTCCAGCTGCCTGGTCCCTTCTTCCACGCCTTTATCTCCCAGGGGTTCCAACCATACTAACCACGCCTCCGGAGCATCTGTCACACTTTCTCTTCCTCCAGGGACTTTGCCCTTGCTCTTCAATCTGCTCCACATTCTCTTCCCAGGCTAACTCAGCATACGGGCCACCTCCTTGGAGAGGGCTCCCCGATAAGCCTACTCAAGTGGGCTTCCCTACCGTCTCCCAGCCAGCAGCTTATTTCTTTCCTGATTTGTATGATGAAAACAACCTTCACTTTAGTTAGAAAAAGATAGCTCCTCTGGTAAGCCTTCTAGGAGTTAGCTTCCATTTACCTTCCATCCTGCTGGTCAGTTTAGCAGCGGGAAGGGGAGAACTGAGGCTGATTTTCCATTTGGGTCATCATCCCCTTCATGTCTTACAACCTGCCGCTAAAGCCACCATTCAATGCTTCCTCTTTGATCAGAGATTTTTTTTTTTTTTAATGGCACCCACTGGGTGCTTAAGCTGAACGGTTAGTAGCAGGCTCCGAAATAGGTCAATCAACCCCAGCCAGGCCACTTCCAAGCTGTGTGACCTTGGTCATGCATTCCAGTTATCCACTGCTGTGTAAAAACATGGGGGTGGGGGCCCAACCCTGGCACCTCCAGAGGCAGGGTTGGTCAGAGAACTCACTTCTGCTCACTCCCCACTGGCCGCCAGTGAAGCATCTGCAGTCTCGTCCTCTCGTGGGGCTGGTGGCCAGTGGGGACTAGAGCTGGAACTGTTGGCTGGACGGCCTTCACAAGGCCACCCCACAAGCGCTAAACTTCCACATGGCGCTTGGATCCCAGGGATGAAGGGAGAGCAAGAGCAGTAGAGAGCGCCCGAATGAGAGTGGCTCGGCTGACCCCAGGTCACAGAGGTCTTCTCCTAGACGGGGAGGCAGGAGGCCGACCCTGCGGCTGTTGGGAGTGTCAGGGTCACTGTGGCCAGGGCAGTCGGTTGGCTGGAGAGCACCAACTCCTGAAAGTTGTCCTCTGACCTTCACATGCGCACTGCAGCGTGTGTGTGCCCGAGGGTGTGCACGCATGGGTGACACGGGCATTAATCATAACAAAAGAACAATTGGAATATACATCCACATGCTTCTTTTTGGAAAATGCAACCAGACATAAGAAGCTCCTTAACGCTCCGAGACAAGGGTGGACAGACTCTTGTACCCCCAGCTGTCCGGAAAGGTGAAGGTTAATCAAGCCCATGAATTCAGCCTGGGTAACATAGTGAGACCCCCTTCTTGAGAGAGAGAGGCGGAAGGGTGGAGCAGAGGGGTGGGGGAGTGGGAGTGGGAGGGAGAGGTTCTGAGATTCTCTGCTGAAATATGGAGCATGGTGTGTATCAAAAGGACACACAGAGCAACCACCAGGGGCGGTCAAAGGCATTACCCTCTGACACCGCAAGGCCCACGCTCCACGCAGGAGGAGAAGCAGAAACGGGGGGGGGGGGGCAACGGATTTCAGGAACTGCATAATTTCTGAGTATCAAGCCTGCGACAAGCCAACAAAAGCAGGGACAGGAAAGCTAACGGGCCTGTCACCGACACATTAGACCAGGCCAGGGCTGGACCTTGAGGCCTGGTAGTAGGATGACTCACCCTGGGTCTCTAGCCCAAGGTTCTCAAATCATTGCCCGCACCCTTGCTCGTTCTTCAGTGTGGAGGGTTTGGGTAGGAGAAAAAGGAGTGGAGCCTGTACCAGCTGGCTGTGCTGTAAGTCAGGTTAGGAGAAGGGGGCAAAGGGTGGAGGGGAGGAGCAGGAGAAGTGGAAGAAAAGAGGGGAGAAGAGAAAGGGAACACCTGTGAAAAGGGGGAAAGAGAAAGATCAGGAAGGGATTAAAGGAGGAAAAAGAGGCTATATAGGGTGTGTGTGTATATGTGTGTAAGGTCTATTCTCCTGGGGGTGTGTGGGGGGGAGTAAGGGGTTGGGGAGCTCCCCTGAGGATGAGTGGCTTCCAGGGCCAAAGAACTTACTGTGGCTGAGGCACGGGGAGGGCTGTAGGAGAGGGCTGAGGTGAGGGAGGTGTTAGGGACCCTAAGCAGCTCCGGATGAAAGAAACCACGCCCACCAGGACTGAGCTCTTGGGGTCTGTGGGGTGGAGACGACCTGACCCTGTGGCCACAGTCTTCAGGCCATGCCAGCCTCCCTCCGGCCCAGACCTGCCCCCTCAAGCATCCAGTGGTCTGGCACCCCTAAGGCACAGCCTGAAGTTAAGCGCAAAGACCTTAAAATTGGTGGTGGTGGTGGGGAGATAGGACTGTGCCTGAGTTGGCAGGCGGCTCGGGTGTGGAGAGTCCAGAATGCACGCGTGGCAGCGCGGTCCCTGTGGCAGGGGGCGAGGCAGGAGTCGTCGAGCACTCCGTGGAGGCGTGTGACTCGGGTTCCATGCTGGCTCCTCTGCTCACCAAGAGCGGACCGCGTGCCGGGTCATGCTTCAGTTTACCGTTCTAGAGGATGGGGTCGTTCGTCATGCCCAGCTAAAGGGGGCGGAGTTCGCGCAGGCTCAGCACCCGCAAGGGGCGCTCGGCGCGGTGCTGGGTGTGCATGGATGCTGGCTCCGGCCCTTTGAGGTCCGCGGGGCCTCTGCCGGGGAATACCCTCTCTTGCCGTCCGCGAGGCCCCCACGGCGACGCCGGGCTCCCGGGCTCCTCGACCGGGAGCGACCCCCAGGCCCGCAGAGGAGCGGCCGGCGGCCGGACGCAGCGGGAGCGAGCCGAGGCCGCGGCTGCCCGGGCCCGCCTGACCCTCGAGGGGGTCGCTGTTGCTCCGCGGATCTCTCCCTCGCTCCCCGCCCGCGTCCCTCCCCGCTGCTCCCGCCGCGTCCGCCTTTTGTTCGCCGAGCCGCGCGCCCCCGAGCCGAGGCGGCGGGGCGGGGAGCTGGCGGGGCTGCGTGGGGGGCGGGCCGCGCCGGGCGGAGCCGGGGCCCTGGCCTCAGCCGGACTGGGAGTCCGAGGCGGC